AGCCCGTGGCCCTCCTGGTCCCCCAGGGACTAATGGAATTCCTGGACAAAGAGGCGGATCAGTGAGTCACCAACATTATTCTTTTTATTACTACAAGCAAACAAGGGAATACATTTCCCCTGTCACCAGTGCAAATGCTTTAACACCTGTGGGGTTGCAAAGGTATATATAATAGAAAAATATGGCTATGGGGGTTCTCTTAGAAACCTTCAGATGTTTCCTATGTATTTCCCTATGCTATTGTCTATTATAATTAGCCAACCAAAAATATGAAAAAGCACACCAAAGCAAACATTTTGGTAATAGTATAATACTGCAAAGCCATGACCCATACTAAAATAGCAGGTTTTGTCTACCAGAAATATTCCAAGTATTGAAACTTATTGACCTAGTTATTTCTCATTTTGGGTTGTAGGAGGATGTGTCTAGATGGTAGCTTGAATTTGGAGTCACACCGTTCATCCATTTCTAAGTGTTACAGATCAACATTTTCATCTTTTTTTTTTAATTTCTAAATTACCTTGGGCCTGCTTCTTTGAAACCCATCAATGTATCTGGTAGAATTACTCCATAATTCCTTAAACATTAATCAGGGGAAATCCCATTGACATCAATCAAACTGACATTAAATTTGTGGAGTTCCAAAAACAGAATATAGCCTAAGAGCTGTCCTAAGGGAAGCACCCATTGGAATAAGGGTGTACAGGGTCATGTCTTGTCTCTTTTATAGGACCAGCTCCAGCAGCAGACTGCAACCTCTGTTTGATGCCTCTAAACAGATAAACCATCAAAATGAGCTGATAACTGAAATACTGATAGATACATTTTTTATTATTATGTAATAAACTCTACTGCAATATTCTGTTGTTATGTGGAAGTGGTAATGGAAGTGTGTTCTGTTTAGGGTGAACCTGGTAAGAATGGTGCAAAGGGAGAGCCAGGCCCACGAGGAGAACGTGTAAGTGATTTTCTAAATATTCTAATTTCTTTAATGTATCGTCATGTTTTATAAGATTATTAATAACAGGCCAAATGCCGTCCTTATCCCAGGCAAAACCGATCCACTGAGCATAATACACAATATGTTTTGACTTGTTCCTGCTTTGTCACTAGGGTGAAAATGGAACTCCGGGTGCTGCTGGACCTCCTGGTGAAGAAGGCAAAAAGGGTGCTAATGGTGAGCCAGGCACAAATGGTGTCCCTGGAACACCAGGAGAAAGGGTGAGCCTCTCCAAGACACTACACTGGATCATTCAGACACATTTTGCATACCATTTACCAAACCCTGGGATTCAAACTTTAAGAGAAGATTGAATTTAAAAGATATAGAATCAAACTTGCAGTATGTGAACATCCCACATACTAGAAAAATTTAGACCCAGATCCTAATCTAGATCTGCTATGCACGGCTTGGGTCTTTCTTTACTTTAAAATACATTCATGCTATTCTCCTTTTGAGAACTAAAGAGTTATTAATCTTGAAAAACTGATGTTCTTACCAAGATTTTGAATGGAATAAGAACACAAGATAACAGAAAAGTATAATATATATTAATGACTCCAAATACAATCCATCTGCAACTTGTGAAATGATATTCCATCAGTTAAATTGATGTCCAGGGGATCAAATGATCATGACAAAGTTTCAGTTCTTTAAAAGTGAAATTAAAGCTAATTCATCCATATTCAGGATAATTAGCTAAGTCTTCTGTCAACAGTCATTTAACAATTAGATGCTACTGCTTTGCATAGAGTTTTATCATGGATTAATTATTGAAATAAATTGTTCCAGCATAATCAACAATAACAGCCTGCTGTTAATTTTAATTTCCTGTTCTTGCCTAAAACAAATTAGAATTGAGATTGATTCAATTCAGATTCACTTTAGAAAATTGTGATAAAACCAAAGATGCACAGTAAACAAAATAGGATGATGTTGAATGCATGAGTGAACTGCAAATGGAAAGTTTCTTAAAACAATGCAGATAATAGTAACTAATGTCATCAAAACATTGCAATCTTGCGGTTGTTTTAATGATACAGAGGAAAATAATTTTTCAAAGCTGAAAATATGTTAGATAATTTTTAACATGAATTTAAGAAAATCCTAGAAAATAGGGCCCAAATCAATATCTTGTGAAGTCATTTGAAGAACTCCCTTTGACTTCGGTGGACATTGGATGAGACCCAAAGTGTGCTCTGCTTATAGAAAAAAGATATTGAATCTGTAGAGTCAGAATGTAATGTCATGTCCATGGATCTCCTTCCCCAAATATCACTAAAATATGGGTAAATGTGACTGGTTGCGTAGCATCAAAGTTCATTGTTACAACATTTTAAAATATTTGGATCTATTTCTGTGAACAAAATGTTGCATGTGTTCTTTCAAAAAAACAGCAGATGTTTTTGAGAGCCTCTGTTACATAAGTAGACTTGTTATGTGACCCACAGGACTAAAATGTCTACTCTCTTGGTTGGCAGGGTCTGCCAGGTTTCCGTGGCCCAGCTGGCAGTAATGGACTTCCAGGAGAAAAGGTACATGTTTTCCTAATGTCATAAAATGCATTATAATAATGATAATTGTTATAGCTGTATTTACTTATTTTGAATTTTCAATGCCCTTTAAAAAATTAAGGGTGTTCCAGGGGAACGTGGTGGTCCAGGCATTTCAGGTCCAAGAGGAGCTCCGGGAGAACCTGGACGTGATGGTGGCCCTGGTCTTCCAGGAATGAGAGTAAGAGAATTATTTTCATGTGGTATTAAGATAATTTGACTTGAGAGTACAGGTGACTGAGCTGGTTTGATACAGCAACCAGAGCCAAGGTTCCAATAAGACCATACCTTTATGGAGCTTTTCAATCCATGTCAATATATATTTTATGTATTTCATTAATTATATTTAATTTTACATCCTGTGTGCTTTGTGGCTGAGGTAAAAAAAAATAGAACTTTACTAGACGTGCAAAATTATTTTAAGGAAGCTCCTTTCTGTGGGATTTCAATGCCAAGTGTTCAAGTCCAAGAGAATTAAACTGACTGAATCAGTTTTGGATCACTATTCAGACTTCCGCATGCTTAGCTAACCGTTTGACTCTTCAACTGTTTGTCCACCATATCTGAATTTCTATTAGCTCAAAATTGTATCAGTGCATTTTGGTGATTTTCAAAGCAACGAGTCAAAACCTCTACTCAGTGCATTAGGGAGGGTCTGAAGCTCTATATTACATACTTAGGGTTGTAGTAGCCTCCAAAGTTGTTGTGGAGCCCTTCCACAGAAGTATATTTGATCAGTGGAACATATAATACCATATCAGCCAGCACTGACCACCCCCATTCACACAACATATCTCCATAGTTGGGAGCAGGAATACTATACAAAGCTATACTGTGTATGATTGTGGAGGTACCCAAGTGCTCAGGTTCTACCATGGTTTTTATAGGATTTGGCTCTATATAAACTTTTTCCATTGGATAATTTTATTTTAATTTTATATAAAATACATAATTTGAACATTTTTTCTATTATGAAGCCTTAGCATTTGGGGGTGGGAGCAAATGTGCTATTTGGCATTGAGCATATAATATTTGATGCCTGTAAACTCAAAGAGAAGCTGTAATAAATTAGGCTTAAAATGCAGAAAAGTGTAAGTTCTATACTGAGAATTAGTGGGTAAAGTCAGCAACCACTTATGCATTATTACATTTTACGCACAGGAAAGTAGTTTTTATTGGAAATCAATGTGGCTTTCAGACAAACAATGTGACAAACACATGTCATATTTTCTGGTAGCTTAAATGAAGAGCAAAGCCCAAGTTCCTAAGAAGGCACTATTAAATGTAGTTATTTGTAAACAATTGGGGACTTAATGAAAATGCTTATATTACCTACTTTAGAGTATAATCATTTGCTTTCTGGTGCCTTCCTTCCCATTATTGAATCCCACAGAATGAGCTGAATCCTTATTAAATGGATTATTGATCAGCTTGTCCCTTGTAAATCCAATGGATTTCTTTAGTAAGCCTGAAATGGGTTTGTAAAACTAACCATAGATAATGGTGCTGCTAGACAATAAAAATTGACTCATCTTTTTCTGCATATCCAGGGTTTGACAGGAAGTCCAGGAAGTCCAGGAAATGACGGAAAACCCGGCCCTTCAGTATGTACATTGCACAAATATTATATGAGGGAACATGCCCTGGACTGGGCTTTGATCTCGTTTTAACATTGTTCTCACTCCATGGGAGTTCTGGTGTGAAATGTAGATGAGATCAGAAACAAGCTGCATTCTGGGCAGATTATTTCATATGTTTTTCATTGTAATAGCACTGTCCAAATCTTGTTATTTAATATTACTATAAACACAGACTCTTCTTCTACAGGAGTTTAAGCGCATTTAAAAAAAAATAAAAGTATATTTCTAATGAAAAGTCAACCAAAATAATATTGTCTTTATTCACCTTTTAACTTGGCCATTTGATTTTTTTTCAACTTGTCTCTGTTGTTTACATAATCATTTGTTTCTTCTAATGGCTGATATCTTTCTCCTGCCTATATCAGGGTAATCAGGGAGAATCCGGCCGACCTGGTCCTCCAGGCCAAACAGGTCCAAGAGGTCAGCCAGGTGTGATGGGTTTCCCTGGTCCTAAGGGTAATGAGGTTAGTGACATTTCTTGACTTAAAATATGTAATACTTAATGGGACAGATTCTCTGTAGTTATAGATCAGTTTAGTTCCATTGACTCTGATGGTGTTGCTTTGATCTAATTCTGCAGAAGATCATGTCCTGTACATATGAACATTTTAGCTAGAGGTTGCATTAGAAACTTATATTTTAAATATATCTGGTCTTTTCCTTTTTAAAGGGTGCACCAGGAAAGAATGGAGAAAGAGGTGCCCCTGGACCACCTGGCGCACAGGTCAGTTTTATTTATCAGCTTCTCTTTGGTAATATTTCACAGTGTTCTCCAATTTTTTTAATCCTTCTAAAAATTGTACTGATGGATAATAACTGTAAAATGTTGTCATTTGAGGAGTGGTGATGTTGGTGCCCAGGGTCCTTCAGGGGCTGCTGTAAGTGCAGTGTCTCAAAAAAGAAAAATCTTGGAAAAACTGATATATTTTCTGTAAAAAAATCAAACCCTCACATCGAATTAATGTTTCCCAAACACTCTTCAGCTTCTTAGTTCTCCTGGTCAGCAAAGAGCATGTGAATCTTGAGAGAACATTTTCTTATCTGATGGAGAGAGAAATTTCCTATTGGCTTTGAGGATAGAGACACCCATGCTGGACTCAGTTGTCTTTGTTCAGTTTGTTAATATGAACTCAGTAGATCTCTAAAGATAACCAAAAGTTCTACTGATACAAACTAAGGTGACTAGAGCTTTGCCAATGTAAACCAACTCAGGATTACTGGAGAAATTTACAATTTTCTTTGGTACTTCACTGGTGAAAGAGCTAAGTTACGTGGGTGCTGTATCAGGCATGTATACTAAGGTGGTATTTCTATGGAAATTTTAGCCCATGATAACAATGAGGAAAGAGGGAGGCAATCTTAGCATGAGCTCCCAGAGTTACAGGCCTCTAGAATTCACAATGCCTCCTTGAGCACAACAAGATGAGCAAGGATTACCTTGACAAGATTACTTCCCTCTGTAAAAGTGGGACACAGTGCCTACCTGCTCCTTCTGTGGAAGAGCTAGCCAAGAGCAAAAATGTGATGTAGGAGAGCACAAGGAGTGCCATTATATGATCTGTTCCTCCATCTCCCAGTGCAATTATTCACATAGGCTGTGTCTACACTGCACCCCTTTTCCGGAAAAGGGATGCAGATTAGACACTTTGGAATAGCAAAATCCACGGGAGATTTAAATATCCCCCGTGGTATTTGCATTAACATGGCTGCCGCTTTTTTCCAGCTTGGGGATAAGCCAGAGAAAAGCGCCAGTCTAGACGTGATTCTCCAGAAAATAAGCCTTTTTCTGGAGGATCTTTTATTCCTACTTCAAAGTCTAGACTGACGCTTTATTCAAAGTAGGAATAAAAGATCCTCCAGAAAAAGGCTTATTTTCTGGAGAATCACGTCTAGACTGGCGCTTTTCTCTGGCTTATCCCCAAGCTGGAAAAAAGCGGCAGCCATGTTAATGCAAATACCACGGGGGATATTTAAATCTCCCGTGGATTTTGCTATTCCAAAGTGTCTAATCTGCATCCCTTTTCCGGAAAAGGGGTGCAGTGTAGACACAGCCACCGTGCTTGGCACTGTTGAGTCCTTTGTGTATTGGAAAGACACCCATAAAGCAATTTGTGAATGGTGGGTGTCTTGAGAAGTGTTAATATTTTTTATTTTATAACATTTTCACAGTAGGCTTAATGCTGCATCTCTTATTCACGGTAAAAAAACAAACCCAAACCCTTGACTATGTGAGTACAGTCAGCAGGATCAGAAGAGCATAATAGTCACAAGACAAAAACTCAGTGATGCTAATGGTTCACTGTTGGGGGGAGGGGTATGTTTCATCTAATTTGAAGGCTTAGAATATTGGTGGAATTTTAACAACAATAGGCATGTGTTAAGTATTCTTTTATATGTTAGAATGATGTTGTTGAATTTTGTGTTGCTTTTTGTTTCCTTCCAGGGTCCTCCAGGTGAAAAAGGAGAGGCGGGAGCTCCAGGTCCATCTGGCTTCCAGGTGCTGTTTATTTCTATTTTATTGCTTCCAATGAATTTTAAAAAAAAACTAAAAAGAACAACACAAATATTTCAGTTAGGGCTTGTCTTATCATGTGTTGCAATGAGAAAGGTCATCCAAGATCTTCATTTAAGTTAGCTGGTCTGACTACAAAGAATAGTGGAGGATCAGGTGGTTATTTATAACTTAATCTCTGGCTTTCGAGTTAAACTGTCCTCTTTTGCAAAGTATTAGATAAGATTATGAAATTGTTTTCACTGAATTACTTCTGTGTCAAAGTTTTCTGTGACTTTGGAGAATGTATAGTTTAGGTTGTAGAACATAGTTTTTCAGACACTTTTTCAGATTTTGCTTTTCTCTAAATCACCATGAAATAGCAATTGTATACATCTCTTTCTATCTAAGTAGATATAAAATTTGTATTTACTAAATGGTATTTTCAATTTAAACAGGGATTACCTGGTACTTCAGGACCACCTGGAGAGAGTGGAAAGCCCGGAGAACCCGTAAGTTGTCCTTTCTTTTTTGGAAATCGAGAAATCAAAAGACAATTATAAAAATTGCAATCCCTATTAGACCTCATTTTCAGATGCAGAATTCCTCATACATAGAGGAATTCACTTCCTTGTGTCTTGGGAAACTATGATGAATGCCAGGGTCTTTGCGCATCAGCACAGAAGGCATTACTGAAGATGGGTGGGGGAAGCCAGGAGAGAAATCGGAAATTGATCTGTATATCCATAATAGCAGATCTAATGGCCAGAGTACTCCTCCAGAGTACAAAAGGAAAGGAGCAGATACTCAAGTCTTGATGATCTGGTGGACAATCATTTTATTCTGAAGGCTTTTCCTTTCCAAGTACCAGAAAGTGATAAGTGATCCTAACTTTTACATCAGTCTTAGTGTGGGCAAATGAGGGCTAATGGTGCTGATCCAATTGCCTCATCTCCCTATTCTACACCCAGAGATCAGAGATGCCACTTAAAAACATACCCATAGTCAGCACTCTTCAACTTGAGGAGGCTACTATTTTTTTAATATCCATCTCTAGAAGTATCCTCCTCTTGAAAATGGTATTTGCAAAACTAGATCATAAAAGGATCCAAATAGAAGTTGTTTACATTATCCCAGTCATGGATAAAATGTGAAGGAAATGAGATGCCACACATCAGTATTTTTGAGAGACAGTTACTGTGTAAAACGTTAAGTGTATGGGTTAGTAACATATTTTCCATTGTAAACAGGGACAAAGAGGTGAAAATGGAGCCCCTGGAGCCCCAGGCAATAAGGTACACATTGCAATAATATTTCTGTGATTAAATATGAGAAGGAGAGGAGGTAAATAAATGTGAAACCATGATACCAGCCTTGGAAACAACAAAAAGCTATTGCACTTTTTTATGGCAGGGTGAAAATGGCCTTCCAGGTGAACGTGGTGGACAAGGTCCTCCAGGTCCTGCAGGAGCAAGAGGTGGAACAGGTCCCCCTGGCCCAGAAGGTGGCAAGGTATCTGCTTAATCCCCAAACCATTCCCTATATTATGTGCTTTTTTCAGGTTCATTCAGCTTCACCTTCAATGTTTATCACATTTCCCTATTATACCTGTAGGGTCCTGCTGGTGCACCTGGTTCCCCTGGTGGTGCAGGGCCACCTGGTTTGCAAGGAATGCCAGGAGAGAGAGGAGGTAATGGAAATCCTGGACCCAAAGGAGAAAAGGTAACAACTCCTTTTATCCTACAATTTTTGTGAAATTACTATTTTAGCTTCATGAAAAAGAGCAGGGTTTTCAAGTGTTCACTTCTGGCATGATTTCAAAGGTGCTGAGTACCTGCTGTCTCTACTGACTTCAGTGAGAGCTAAAGGTTCACAGAATGTATGCAAATCAGAACATATATTTATAAAAGACTACAGTATATGAAAATGCTGTGGGAGATTCTCAGCTCATGTAAATTTGCTCCATTGAAGCCAATGAAGTGATGCCAATTCACATCAAAGGAGAATCTGGCCCATTCTGTCTACCCCTTTGCGGGTAAATGGATTTTGAGTTTTATAACTGAGTTCCATGCCTGCTTGTGTATGCTGAGGCAGAATGTTATACTGAATACCAGATTTGCATTCCCACAGTCGAACAATCCAGTTATCACAATACCCTTGTGACACTTTCCTCAGTAATTTTGTAAATGTCTTTTGATTTGTGTTTGACAGGGAGAACCTGGTGGCAGAGGTAGTGATGGCTTCCCTGGTAAAGATGGACCAAGGGTAAGTATTAACCTTTCATACTTTATGAGCTTTCTAATTACATATGACTCAACTTCAAAAGCTATTGAAGAGTCATTTAAAATGTAAGTGAGGTTCTAAAAAATGACCACCATTGTGATATGAACAGCAGACCTGATTTTGGCCATGGAAAAAGGTTTTGTTAGTGCAAGTCTACATTTATAAATCAAATTAGTTTTAATCCTTGTTTTCATAACTTAAGTTTTTAATTGGACAGGAAGCTTTTATTAACTTGATGTGTACAGATAAATGGGTTTAGTTATATGGGGGATACATCACAATGAAAATAGGAAGGGAAGCTGCTCGCTTTTCCAGTTAGCTATATAAAGAGGACAAGACTGAAGTGTGAGAGAGAGAAGTATATGAAGACTTTCATGAAAAATACTTCTAAACAATGTTATCTATGGTATGAAACCAACACATGAAACCACTTATGGTGCATCAACATAATGAGTCACAATAAATATAAAAAAACTACTTTATGTGAAAGTTATAGTTGCAAAAGTAGGTTAGATTTTCAGTTTTAATAATGTAGTTATTTGATTGTTCCTTTCTTACTTGGTGCCTCATCATATGCTCACTGAACTCAATTTCTACCCTCCTACTGACTTCAGTGGTGTAGAACTAGTCCTCTACCAAGAGTATAAAAATGGATCAGGTACTATGGAATCAAGAGAAATTTAGTAAATTGTCTGGAGATAAAGGTAGGAGAACAGATGACTTCCAGTGAGTACCAATGGAAAGATTCACATTAATTGCAATGGGCATTGAATCAGACCATATTCTGGTGAAATAAATTCAAAATGTGTAAACAATCCCTCAAAGTGCTCATGTAATATAGAAGTAGATTTTCTGCTATTAAAGTAACTAAAAAGTCATATATATAATGAGGGTGAGATTCAAATTTTCAATGATGACAATACATGAAAATAAATCTGTTTGTATTTCTGTACTAAGTACACATTGTTTTCTAATTGTTGTAGGGTTCTGCAGGTCCCATTGGGCCCCCAGGTCCAGCTGGCCCACATGGAGATAAGGTACTTTATAACTTTTATAACCTTGTGTTGAAATGAGGGTTTATGTACATATGTCTGAGATGTTCTCCTTAGCTGGAGGTATATTTCTTAAAACAACTTTCTGTCTTTTCAGGGAGAACCTGGTGCAGCTGGCCCTCCTGGTCCAGTAGGAGCCCGTGGTGGTCCTGTAAGTGACTATTCTTTTTGTTCAGTTGTAAGGCTACTGTAGATTCCATTGCTTGGGACAGATTCAGCCCTACAGTTAAGTGATGTCTTTGGGAATAGATAGGGCCTGATTTCAAAAGTTGTTGAACATCTGCAGCTCCCACTGACTTCAGAGAAATTTGTTGAAACTCAGAACTTTTAAAAAACAAACCAACTATTTTTTTTAAAAGCGATGATACACACCAGAGAGATGCCAGAGAAATGGGGGTAAGTCTGAGATGCACAGTTTCCTGGTATTTAAATCTCTGGTAGAAGTTATCGTTCAACAAACAAATTAAGATTAAATTTTCAAAATTCTATTAGTTTGTTAAATGGCCTAATTTGCATTTTATAGTTTTCCGTACTAAAGTAAACTTTTCAGAATTCACTTGTTTTTGGTGTTCCTTTTCGTTTTGATAAAATGGGCCAGATTTTGATTTCCGATACCACAGGCTGAAACTAGAGTAACACCACTGAGGACTTACATGGATGTTACTGAAAACAAGATTTGGCACAATGGTGATCATTATCAAGGGACAATTTAAGCAGTTTGAAAGTATAAAGTTTAGTAACCGTAACCACATTTAAATTGTATTTCAGGTAGTGATGGTAGACTAATATGAACCCTGTTCACCAAAGAATTCTCACATATGAGGTTTGAAAAATATTTTTCTCATTTTTACACCTATGATCTGTTTCCTTTCTACAGGGTGAGAGAGGTGAACAAGGTCCCCCTGGGCCTGCTGGCTTCCCTGGTGCTCCTGTAAGTATAAATACCAAACAAATTTGATACTCAATTTATATTGTTAATTCATGTTAAGTAATAACTGACCATATTCCTGTCCATCGTAGAATGATCTACCAAGCTCAGCATAATAAACTTATGACCTCTGTATTCCATTCGGACAATTAATATGTATTTTTTGTTTATTCCCCTTTGTTTACTTATTCAGCCATACTTCAAGATACCCATCCCCCTAGCCTATCACATTCACTTTAGTGAGATATCGAGAAAGCAACACGTAACAATACAAACTGCAAACAGAGTTCAGATTCCAAATTGTGTTTCGGCTCCTTAGTTGAGAGTATCTGGTTCTTGGATCTGATATCACATTGGATTTATCTTGTCTTCAGTGGATTTATAACTTATAGACATGTATTCTTACTTAACAAGTAGATACATCTAAGGAAAGTCATCATAACCAGTTTAACAAAACAGAATTTATAAGAATTTCTTTGAATACAGGGACAAAATGGAGAACCTGGTGGAAAAGGGGAGAGAGGCCCTGGTGGTGAAAGAGGTGAGACTGGTCCCCCAGGAGCTGCAGGTCCTCAAGGAGGCCCTGGCGCACCAGTAAGTATTCATTTTTACCCAAATTCAAATTTCTCTCCGTTATGAGATCACTCTGAGCTGTTTGAAATGCATAATGCATCGACACCATCTTATAATCTTGTCTGTTGGCTGTTTTTCATGCCAAGTTGCATTTTTTTTCACTATAGGGTCCAGCTGGTCCCCAAGGAGGAAAAGGAGAGCGTGGTGCTCCAGGCGGCCCTGTGAGTATTATCCTTTTCTATCAGTGGGTAGACAACACCACTGATTTTTACTGGGACAATAATTCCAGCATAATCTCCAACAAACTCAGGGCACTGAGAGTTCTGGACTGTCTTTAATGTAATAAACTTCTCTGGAACACTAGTAAGGTGCAGTAACTAAGCCAAACCATCTATGACCTACTGCAGATCACCTGCTATTTTGATCTAAAAAAAATCTCATTGGCAATTTTTTCTTCGACCATAAGTTAGATATTGAGAGATAGCTGAGATCTTCCAGTGCCAAAAGTTAACATTGGGACTGTATATTTAGTTGTTGTGGAAATGTATTCTGCCCTAGTACAAAACGGCAATATATCTGTTCTTTCCATAACACCTTTGCCATAATTTTGAAACCATTGCAGAGGTGTATTATGTTAGGAAAGTTAGGTACCAGTCAAACTTTGGATAGTCCCTCATCCTTTCTCATGGGCTACGTCTACACTGGCCCCTTTTCCTAAAGAGGCATGCTAATTTGACAGGTCGTAATAGGGAAATCCGCGGGGGATTTAAATATCCCCCGCGGCATTTAAATAAAAATGTCCGCCGCTTTTTTCCGGCTTTTAGAAAAGCCGGAAAAGAGCGTCTACACTGGCCCCGA